CAGCTTTCTTCGCCACTTTTACTTATGTACCCATTTGTCTTCGGTGGTCGTATTGGGAAGGTGGGCACACAATGATATGATCTTTTGTTCTTTGATGTGTGATACCTGATCCCTTCGACATCTCATGATCACACAGGCTGGTGTGCTTCTTCCATGTGTGAGCTGTTGCTTCTGAGCTAGATGGCTGCTTATTTGCCTTCAACCCTTTAAGACCCCAGATGCTATATCTTTTGATAGCCGGGCACCATCAGCTTTCTTTACCACATTTGCTTATGCACCCACTTTGTCTTCTGTGATCGTGTTGCAAAGGTGAGCATCATGGAATGCCAGTTTAATACAACAAAGTATTCTTGCATTGAGGGAATACTTGAGTGGAGGCCCAATGTCCTTCTGCTCCTTAATGCTAAACCTATAAATATATGCACATAGATCTATTTCCCCATCCTCATATATAAATATATTTACAAATGTACATGCCTTTATTTAGACCTCTGTAGATGCCCATTTGCCTCCTAGTTCTTGTGGGGTTAAGGGAGGGATTGCACTATAGGTTACACAGTAATGAGAAGGGATATTCTAGGGACATACATGCAATAGGAAGAAGAGGGATTGGGGGTATACATGTGACAAAATGGGCGGATCCTAGATTTAGGATGGCAGCTTAACTTTGACCTGTTTCCTGGGTCTCCATAGGAACCATTTTCAGTAGGGTGTAAACTCCTCCTGTCCATTGTCCCCAGCAGCAGAGAGCAGGACCCACTGCAGTTTGGCAACTGATTGCCCTCAGGGGAGATGCCTGCTAGCATCTACCTCCCCCCACAAGTCCCCCTTTTGTTTTATATAAATTTAAAAGCCCCATGGGCAACATCTATGGGGTGAAGGGAGGAGGGGGGCCCCCACAAATCATCACAGGTACGGTAGGCGCAATTGTACAGCGATAATAAGTAAAGATTATAGTAAAGTCATAGCATGAGAGGTAAAAGAGTCAAGTAATGGAGTCAGACACAATTCATGGTAGCATTGCTCACCTCAGCCCCATTTGATGGTCCACATGGGGGGAACCCGGCTAGGAGAGTAGGCGAGCCCTCAGGCCCAAGAACTGGGAGCACTCGAGAACCGGGACTGGGGAGAGCTCCCCTGGCCCGAGAGCCAGAGAGGGCCCTGAGAACTGGGAAAAGCTTTTTTTCTTTATTGCTAACCAAGCATTATATCACTTTTGGGGAACATGATTACAGAATCACACGTCACAG